CTGTGACTATCTTTAAGAAGAAACTAGATGCTTTCATGGACAGGCAAAAAGGTGGGGGGCAATGTTGACGTAGGTACTAGACAGTAAGCAACTAGGATAGTAAACAAAAAAAATAAAAATAAAAATAAAAATACAAAAATATTTAGCTTGAAGAGGGTTAGGCCTACCCTAAAATTAAGGAACGCTCGACCTCGACACGTGATATCGAAATGGGCGAAATCGCCTCTTGATATCACTAACTCTCCTGACTCCTGATGACTGGATGTATGATTCTATATTGCTATGTATGATCATATATTTGCCATATACCACCATATATGTAATCGTATATTATCAATTGCATGGCATTAATATATATTACCTGCATTGCAATATCAAAAGTTATGTGCTCATGACATCATGTCTGACATATGGTGAATATTCACAGGCAAGTCTTATGGTTGTTAGTGAACATAGCATGAGGTCAGTGGGCCAGGGGAAGCAGAGCATCTGAGCAGGGGGTCCTCAAACCCGACCCAAGTGATATTGGGGGAGAAAAATATTACCTCCAAGGGGGCACCAAGCTCTGTGCAAGGGGGCAGCTGCACTCCCTGCTACCCCTGTAAAATATGCCTCTGCTTAAGGTTGTTACACATCTCTACAAAGTCCTGAAGACATCTCTTTCATGATGTTGGATACCATCCAACTGAAGATGGTCCTTAAAATATCCCATAAAAACCTTGGGACAAGTTGTCCAATTGTAGACATCCCTGACATGTCACTGTGCTGTGTGTGTATGACCATACCATATAAACTGTTTACTATACCTTATGCATCTGGGATGTATATTTCTAGGAATATATTTGTTATGTAAGCATGCATGCTAAACATGTGTATGCATGAAAGTCCTTTATAAAAGTTATGCACTTAAATCAGGTACATCATACAGGAACTCATCCCTCAAACCATAGATTTATTTTATATGAAATATATATGCTGCCCAGGTATGTTTAATATATGAGTAATCCTTACTTAGATCATATACTTCAACCATATGTGCTCTCATATATGTGCATTCATATTTCAATGCATGAAAAATATATTACATTATATGGTGCAGATAATTGCACATAACTAGTATATATAAACTTCCATATGGGTTGTTATTGAAATTCCATGAAATACATGTTGTAGAAAAGAGCTTGAAAATGACACCACTTTCAGCTGTCAAAATTAATTAAAACAAAAACTTGGGCACTTCAAGTGATGATCACCTAACCTGAAGTCAGTCTTTTCTGGCCACATTCAAATCACTGCATCTCGGAAAGTACTTGACCTTGACCCTCGATTTGAGATCTGGAATTTGACGTGGACAAGTTTTTCTGCTGACCCAATGAGTCTACCCATTTTCCCCAAAAATTGGAGATGGTCAGGGTCAATTTGCAATTTTTTAAAGTGTTGATTTGACAATTTATGTGAATTGTTATGGATATGGAGCCTTTGCCTGCTTGTAGAAAAAGCTGTGAGCAGACTGGAATTCATCTTCTGGCATATTATCCCTTGGACAAAGCAGGAGAATTGTAGCTAGGCCTAGTCTGCAGAGACAGCAAATTCCTCTGTTATGGTGAAAAAAAGAGTATGGTTCATAGAATAATATTGCCAGAAAAATACAATATGAAAATGTATTGGAAGCCCATCAGCCATTTTCAAGTCTAGTTAGTACAGAATTACATACCTCCATTCTAGGTTTCAAGCCAAGTTCAGGAGGTCTTCAAGAATTGAATTTCCGGTCTTCAAAAAATGTTTGGGGTTACTTCAGTGTTGCTGCATCAGGAGGTCTCCATGAATTTGCAGACTCCCAATTTGGCCATTGCTTCTCTTGGGGAGAGACACGAGAAGATGCTTGCCAGTAAGAAGTGATCCCAAATATGTGAAAATTTTAAAAATTCAGTGATTGATGTCAAAAATGTTTGCTTATTTTTTATTATAGAAATTTGGTGGTTGCATTGAAGGAGTTGAGCATCCGAGGAGACTTCCGTACCATAGTGGAGTATCTTGTCAGCCTGTTGGAGAAGGAAGATTTCATGAAAAATCGATTTGATACCAATTGGTTGGATGAGTTAATAGCAGAAAGGGTGAAGCCTGGAAAGCCAGACACGATGCTAGCTGTAGTGTGTGGTGCACTTCATGTTGCAGATCAAGTCATCTTGAATTCTTTCCAAAGTTTTCAGAACTCCCTTGAGAGGTAGGTTCATCATGGGAAACAGTTATCTTGGAATAATGTTTGGAAAGCTACAAGTTATGGGAAATGTACTCATTGCCAAAAAAAAGCATAACCAAGAAAGATCTTGAAATTTGGGACACTTGCTCATATTAGCATAATTTGAAATTCATTAGAATTTTAAGTGTGAGGGATGAATATTAATGGAGTAAATGTGCCAATTAATGTAATTTCAATAGTGGCTATCTTTGGCAGCCCAGCACACCAACCTGAGCATCAGCACCACACTGACCACTGAGCTCGACATCCTTGCCCAGTATTTCTACACCTGAAAACTGCACCCAAACCCAGACAAAACCATGGTGACAGCCTTCCACCTGGACAACAAATTGGCCAAGGCAAGGCTCAACTTTGACTTCTGCAGCCACCGCAAAGCATGAGGACACGCCTTTATATCTTCGTGTCATTCTTGACTGCTTATTGACATTCAAGGTGCACCTTGAAAAGGCAGGTCAAAAGATGAAGAGGAAGGTGAACTTGGTCCACAAACTCTCCCAAACAACATGGGGAGTAAATGCCATGACCTTGCAGACAACAGCACTTTTGCTTGTCTATTCAGTGGCAAAGTACTGCTCATCAATCTGCGCCTACAGTTGCCACATAATGAAGATCAACTCGCAACTCAGCGAAGTGATGCACATCATCACTGCCACCCTGAAGCCAACTCCAACTACATGGCTCCCAGAACTCGCCAACATCACACCTCCAGCCATATGAAGAGAAGTGCAAACACAGTGTGCCTTCAAATCCATGTCTGCCAGTACAAATCTACCCATCCATCACATCATAGACGACCCACTGAAAAAGTGGCTAAAATCCCACTCTCATTCCTGGGAGAGGGCAGCAGCTTTCAATCTGCCCTACTTCAATGTGAAGAAACACTGAAGAACACTCTGGGTAAACACCAACATCCCAAATAAGTCATTGGTCTCTGACCTGATAGTGCAGCCTCCTGGCTTCGACCTCAGCCACAGGGAATGGTCAATTTGAATCGCATCTGGACTGGCCAAGGTCATTGCACCCATCTCCTTCACCACTGGAAAATGAGGGATGACCCATCATGCAACTGTGTTCACGAAGAACAGACCATGCAGCACATCATCCATCAGTACCCCTTAGGAAATACCTGGGAAGTGTCACAGACATACATATTGTTCTTCCAGAAGCCATTAACTGGGTCACCAACATTGACATTGACTTTTAAAGATCTTGCAAGCCATTCATGCCATACAATGGAATAGAAATGTGGCTATTGGGTCATATTAACTGCCTGAAACAGTTACCTAAATGATTTTTACTGACAAAATGTGGTAGGAAAACTCCTAAAGATATGTAGAACAATCAAGCTAAGTTTGGAGCTCATGAGATAAAGCAATTTGGAGAAAACTTGCTAAATGCTAGAAGAATTGGAGAGAAGGGCTGCACCATCGAAGGTGCCAGTTTCCTTTTTTTCTTTCCTTAAGCTGCTTCCCTATATGGCCATTGTTGGAAGTTCAATCACAAGGCAGTGCCAAGAGGGAATTGCTGGCTGCAATTTCAACACACTGTTAGGGTGTTTCATTGATGTAGGGTAATTAGGATGCTTACCATGCATCAGCCTGATACAGTATAAGCATCACAATTACTCTGAATGGATGAAACACCCTAACAATATGTTGAAATTGCCTCCAGAGATCTCATCTTGGCACTGCCTCGCAGTTAGACACTCAACAACAGCCCTATAGGGAAGTGGCTTGAGGGAAGGAAAAAGGAAACTGGTGCCTTCAATGGCACCACCCTTCTCCCCAATTCTTCCTGCATTTAGCAAGTTTTCTCCAAATTGCTTTATCTCACAATTTTGAAACTTAGCTAGATTTTTCTGCATATCTTTAGGAGTTTTCCTACTGTGTTTTGTCAGTATAAACCATTAAGGTAACCATTTTGGGCATTTAGTATGACCCCATAGCTGCAATTGAAATTGGATTAGTTGGGATGTTTTCTCCATTGATAGTCATCCCACTCTCTTGAAATTCTAATCAATTTTATGGTATGCTTGTATGGGCTAGTGAACTAAATTTCATCAAGATCACTCAACTCCTTCTTGATTGTGCTTTTTTTTTGGCAAGGATTTTTTGCTAGACCTACAACAATTCAGAAATAATATTCTGATGAAGTGCAAGATTCTCCAAAAAAAGAAGTAATTAGCTATAAAGTGCATGTAAAAAAACAAACTTTTTGTATGTTTTTGGAATCAGCAGAAGAAGATCTAGTGTTGTGTGTCCGTTTTTGTTTAACAAATTCCACTTAAGGAGATGCAATGGCTTGAAATATGCATAAATCTCAAATTTTGCACAAAGAAAACAGTTTTCAATTGTATGGTGACATTTTCTAACAAACCTTAAAACTTTTCAGAATGTCTACCATTTACTGGAATAAAAGATGAGAGCTTTTTCAAAGCTCATGTATATTTTTAAATGCATAGCACAAATTTTTATTCAGACCCCACCTCACATTTTCTGCCATTGTTTTTAAGAGCAAAAAAAAACATACAGTTTTCATTACAAGTTCTTCAAAAAAAAAAAAAAGTATTGACGTTAGTTTCCTTTTTAGTTACGTAGGATCATCATACCCCAAGTACCTGTACTGACGAGTAAGTTATGTAAAACGTCTCAAAGTTTAAGATAAAAACGAAGAAAAGAATGCAATTGGAATGTATTCATACCTCTGGCACAAAGTATGGGAAGGCCGATTTTCCCTTCTGCTTAATACATGGCTCTGAATGGTGCCTGAAATGGAGTGCGTGAGGCTGTAAGCTGTACTTTCTGGATGGATACAGTGATGAAGTGCAGAATGCTGGGACATGAGTGATGAATATGGTATTGATGAATTGAATGCTGACTCACAGCATTATATGAATCATACTGCATCAGTGCACATTATGTGGTGTGATTTTGATGGCTATATAAGTATAAGATCTGTAACGAAGTTCAACTTTACAATGTGTTATGACCATAATCCTACGAAGTTCTTCGTACAAGACTTACGAGTTTGTTTTTATTTGAGTGAATTTTTACAATTCAGGTCCAAAGGGCCAGGCAGGGTGAATTTTATTTCACCACTCCAGATGCTCAGAGTATTCAAAATGCATTTCATGAAGCATCCTAGTACCGGTATTGTAAATACCAGTAGAATGGATTGATTTTTCCTATGATTGCAGCTATGAAAAAAAAAAATTGAAGATCTGATAATGAAAACTGTATCTTTTTTTCATTTAAAACAATGGCAGAAAATTTAAGTGTGAAAAGTGCAAGATGCTGTAAGCATGCCAATGATTCAAATCATACTATTTGTGATAGCTCCTTTTGAAATGCCCAATGATGCCATTTGGCATCACTTCATATTTCCTTTCTGTAACAAAACTGAAAAACTTACTGATGTCAACTAGACTCATTGAACTCATATAGGCAAGATTCAGATGTTTTAAAATTTTACTTATTATTATCAAATACCGGAAAAACCTGGACCGGAAAGGACTGGAAACTAATGGAGGTTTCAGCATTCAGGCCTAAATCTTGGCATTGTGTTAGACCACTTCCAGTCTTGATAACAACATTGAAGACAAATTGAGTAAGCACTGGAGCAAGTTTAAGTAGAAGTCAGTGTCCAACTTGGAAGCTTGAAAAAAGTGACCATGGGAAAACTGCTTTCCATTAGGTCCGCAGATCATAAGGTTTTCAGCTTCATTTTTCTGCATTCAAATTGTGATTTCTGAGATGCAGTGAGCTAGAGAATTCCCTTGGAATTCAGTGTTGCTGAATAAATTTATGTTTATATTGCTTAATGGTGAAAGCTTTGAAACAATGGTCTTGGTCCTGAATAAGTATCACTTGGTCATTGTCCAAGACAGGGTTCTCAGGTTCTTAGGCTCCTACTTAAAGGGGATAGAATGCTCAACTATAGTTAATCTTTTTCATGGTAAGGAACCTACTCGTCTTGAGGCCATCATCAGACCTGTGGCAAGCATGCACAACACTGGTATTTGGCCTGTTAATGTGAAATTCAATATTTAGTTAAAAAACAGAACCCATTTTGTCTCATCATCACAAAGACTTGTCGGAGAGGGGGAGGGGTAAGATTTTGCAGTACCCTTTGCATTGAGGGTTATTCATAGTAGCTTCATAAGTTAGTGTTGAATAAATTATTCTTCTCCCCTTCTGCTTCCATCCATAATATGTTGTAGTTGGGGCCTCTAAATACAAGCATTAGAGAATTCATGTCACTTATTATCAGTGTCAAATCCAAATATTTCTATTGGTGCTGAATTTTGATGTGCCACTGATGCAATTGACAATTTATTCATTTTTCTCCTTCCATGTGGTTAATGGGTCAGGTGTTGATGACTTCAGAAACTAAGCAAATTTTTCTGTTGCACAGGGGTCAGGTTCTTCCTGCTCATACCCTGAATAATGCAGTGGAAGTGGAACTCATCCTGGATGGAATCAAATATGTTGTTCAGGCCACCAAGACTGGAGCTTCCTCATATTTTCTTTCCTTGAATGATTCGTGCAAGGAGGCTGAAGTGCATCGAATGAATGATGGAGGTATTGTCAATATGGTCTTTTTGTAGGTTGTATACTTGCCAGTAGCTTTGCATTATATGCAGTATATGTTCATCCTCTAGGACTTCTTCTTTCTGTGGATGGAGCTAGCTATACAACATACATGAAGGAGGAGATTGATAGTCTCAGAATCGTCATAGGAAATCAAACATGCATTTTTGAGAAAGAGAATGATCCAACAGTGTTGCGTTCATCCTCAGCTGGGAAGTTGTTGGGCTACCTGGTGGAAGATGGTGGTCATGTCTTTGCTGGCCAAGCTTATGCTGAAATTGAGGTAAGCCTAATATTCCTAAGCACTTTAGCTATATATCTTATATTCACCATCTATCTTGCAAAAAGTGGCATCCTGTGATATCAAGTGATATATTTCAGTTCGAACTTGAACTAATTTTATTTTGAAGTTGAAATCTTGGGGTAGTAAATGTGCTTCTCTGGCATGATATTGGAATTGAAGAGAGAATTAAATTCCCGCCTCCCTTGAGTACCTTAGGTAAGTCTATCCTTTATCAAATTGCATCCCCCACACCCCACCATTTGATTCATCTTTTCATTTTTCATTATGTTGCATTTCTAGTCAATCATTGGGGTACTAATTCTACACCTAATGTAATTATTCAGATCGGACCTCAACTTCTCCATGTTATTTAATATCAAGGGGGATTGATGATGGATCCTATGAGATCCTAGGAAATGAAAACTACAAAGGTTATTCTGTTGAATGTCAGGAAAGTTATTGAGAAGATTGGGGAATTATTGAAAAGAGAGGACAAGGTGGAGAAAGGAGTAGAAGTCAGGAGAGTGGCAAGTGGAAATGCTGAAACCATAGATTCAGATAGAGAAAATGAGGGCATTGAGACAAGGGGCAGATGAAGTATGCATGGCAGTGAGGAAAAAGCTATTTTTATTCTATTTTTTATGGGTTGGAAGAGAAGGAAAAGATGAGGAACCTGAGCAATTGAAGGATTATATTATGGAGAATATAATTCTTCAATTGCTCAATTTGGAATAAAAGTGACAAACCAACCGCAATATCATTTCCCCATAGTACCTATGGGAATGTCAGATAATTATGGCAATATTGACAGACTTGTGGACAAGCAAGTCAGCATCGTTTTGGACAATCCATGTCTGCTGGTCATGGTCACACTATGGTCATATACAGGGTGTTCTGAAAGTTTCTGACTCTCTAAAATAAAGATGGAGATGAGGTTAATGGGAATATATTGATTTAATTGCATTCCTTATGGCCAAGAATATCCTAGGTTCCAACTCCTACATCAATACTTGATATGATTTCCATGGACTCAGATTTCAGGAATCTCAGATTAGCATCCCAAAGCTTTCAACCAATCAATAGATGACACCTGTCACATTGGTTTCTCATTCCACTTAGAACCTCAGTAATGACTGACATCCAATTTATGGGGTGGGACTGGCACATAGCACTCTGCTGAAACCTGTGACATAGGTTTTCCAGGTGTTGAGGTCTAGACAGTTCCTTGGTAACTACTTCTAGACCTTGACCCTACTCTCTTTGATGGTGCAGAATGCAAAGTCAAATGTATGGCATGGGACTCTGTCCTGCATCAGCACAGCCTTTTGTTGGCCTGAGCAGATCCCCTGGATCTTCCTGTAGCCCATGTATATTAGCAGGATCAGAAGCAGTCAGAGTGACTGACAGCATTAAACCACACATTGTATGGGTGGGTCAAAAACTTTCAGAACACTGTACTTCGTCTCTTCCTTATGGGGAATATTTCATTGAATATTATATCATTAATTTATGCCTCCTATTCTTCCAAGTACCTGCTTTCTTTGTAGCTCTCATAGCCTTTGGCTCATAAATAATTTCTGCTCCTTCGTCTCCCTTCCTATGCTTTTCTTTCATCTGTGAAACGTGCTCCACATTCATCTAGTCCTTCAAAGTTTCTTTCCTTGCCTGGTGGCGATTTGAGGATGCTTTCTGCAATGATGGCACTGGGAAGACATCATCAAGGATGGCCCTATGCTTATGGGAAGATACCTCATCACTGCCTCTGTCTTTACATTTGGCACAGGGAAATGGCACAAGTTCTGATGCTCCTGGGTCAGGGTTATCCTAGTCTGTTGCTTCCACATTTTGTTCCTTTGGACTGGGAGCTCACAGGAGAAATTCATGATTTTGGAATTGCAAATGGGTTGAATGGATAGATGCCACAGGCTCTAAAACCTGTGGCATCTACAAGGGACAGTCAAATGAAAATGGGACATGTGGTGAATCACCTCTTTACTGCAAATTGGTAGCAATGATTGGTACATCATTTCTCTACATTTTTTTACAAGTACATTTTTTCCAGAGGAGAAGAAGGACTTCTGACACTTCCAAATCCACTCTTGCACCACCTCTTGAACCTTCCCATCAGTCTTATGCATTTGTCCACTGAGCACCTCTTTTAGGGCCCCAAACTGGTGAAAGTCGCTTGGGGCAAGGTCAGGGCTGTAGGGTAGATGCTCAAGCACCTCAAAACTAAGCTTCATAGTAATGTCTTTTGGTTTCTTTGCCATATGTGGGCAGGTATTATCATGCTGCAGCTGGTCTCCTTTTTTCAGCATGCCACAATGTTTTGTTCTGATTGCTGGCTTCAGTTTCTTGCTGAGAAGCAAGGAGTACACCTCCCTGTTGACAATAGAGCCCTGCTCGAGAAAATCAACAATGATTACCCCTCGTGTGTCCCAAAATATAATCAGCAGGATCTTCTCTGCTGATGGTGACGCTTTGAACTTCTTGGCTGGAAACAAGCTGGTGTGCCACCATCCCATGCTTTTTTGCTTTGCTTCAGGTGTGTAATGGCACACCCATGATTCATCGCCCATGACAATTCTTCCAAGGAAGTCATCACCCTCTTTTGAAATGGGACAGTAATAACTGTGCAGCATTGGGTCTTTGTAACTTCAGTTCTTTGATCTGCTGACATGGGGCCCAGTGAGTACACACTTCCTAAAAGCCAAGCTCACTTTTGACAATATGATGAACTGAAACATGGCTCATGTTCACTGAGGAAGCAATTTCATCAATGGTGGTACATGGATTTCTCTGTACAAGGGCTTCCATTTCCCAGATGCTCCCAGGAGTCAGCACATGATGAGCTTGTCCTAGATGTGGGGCATCAGTGACACTTGTTCCCCATTTTGAACTTGTTAACCCACTCATACACTTTTGACCTTGCAATGCAATTATTGGCATAAACTGCCTGTAGTCTTCTGTGAATTTTGTTACCATTGGCACCTTCTGCAACCAAAAACCAGATCACTGCCTGAAGCTCTTCCTTGGTGCATTTCATTTTCACTGGTGTAATTTTTTCCTTATTGCTGTGCAGTTGTGCCTTGTAGCAGCAGTCATCTGAGACTATGGGGCAGTGCTGGAAACCTTAGTATTAAGGCAAGGCCCAAATGAATGATTCGAAGTAGGTTAGGAGCAGCAATCAAGAACATCCTGTTTTCATTTGACTGCCCCTCATGTCTATTGTGCAACAGCATTGCCCACAGTCACTGCTTAAAACTATGCATCTCTGAGAAGATCTCCAAATTCCAGCTTAGAGAATGCCTCTCCCCCATGATTGTGCACTTAGGAAGCAGCTGCCTTGTAGTAATAGTTCTGAATAGGCTTGAAGAAAGACCGATCAGTTGGCTGTAGCCAATGGGTTGTGTGTGGAGATAGACACAGCAAATTGATTCTTTGATCCTGGTGTATGAGGGCCACCCCAAATGTTTTTGGGGTCTGCGACTTGGAATAACTGTTCTCCAATGACCTTATGCCATTTGGTTCTATGATAAATATTTTGTTCTATTCTATATATTCCTATGAAAGCTGCACATGGCCCTAAGAATTGGAAACTCAGTCATACTTACTATCTTGCGTGAAAAACTTGTGCAGAGATGAGTTTCTGCCTGTTGGGTCCCTCATCTATTGAAGGAACATGAAAAAGAAGACCGCATGAAGTTCTGCCAGTTCATGCTTCAAAGATTTGACAAGGAACACTCTCCTGCTGTATATAGGATCATCACAGGTGATGAGACTTGGGTCTTCCATAATGACCCTGAGACAAAGCAGCAATCATTGGTGTGGCTTCCAAAAGGGCAACCTCCTCCGAAAAAAATTACACCTGTCAGGTCTGGATTCAAGGTCATGCCATTTTTTTTCACCAAAATTAACTTGGTGAAGGCAATACCATTGGGAAATGGGCAAACTGTGACTGCCAAGTGGTACACAAAAATTTACCTGCCAGCAGTGTTCAACGTCCAAAAAGAGAGGTGGAAGAAGTGCAGCTTGAAGGGGATGATATTGCATTATGGCAACGCCCCAGCTCACTAGGCAAAGGTGACAGCATTTGAGTCAGAGAAATGGAAAATGAAATATCTGCCACATCTGCCATATTCACCAGACCTTGCACCTTGGGACTTTTGGTTGTTCAATTAAATGAAGTGGGATCTGTGCGGGATTGAGTTTCATGGGGAGGAGTAGTTGAAGAATAGCATGGAGGGTTCCTGGCATCGATTGAAGCCAAGCATTTCAGAGAGTGTCTTGAAAAGTGGTTCAGGTGCATGAAAAAATGCATCATTCTGTCTGGGGATTATGGTGAAAGTCATGAATAAATTATGATTCTGAACCAGGAAATACTTTGCCCTTTTTACATCAATTTATGACATTGAACCCAGAAACTTTTGAGGGGGGCCTCATACTGCAAGAGATCAGGATCAGTTGCATGAGCATCATGTCCATCTACATTTAGAATAACTAGAGCCTCAAAGAACTTCAGAAATTAAAAAAACTGCTGTATTTATGTAGCCACTCTCACTGAATTTAGCATGGAACATGTGCTCAAACACTAGGGACAATGAGACTAGAGACCATAGAATAACTGATAAATCATTTCTGTTTGCTTGCAGCTATTAAGAAATACATGCTTAAGTGGTTCAAAGTTCACATTAGTTTTTGTATCATTGGTTGAGAAACTGCATGAACCTACTTTTCAAACATGGATATATCCTGTGTTCCTATGCATGCAACATTGAGGAGCAGGGCATATCATATCGACCATTAAATATACCCTTCAATAGTTCTATTTCCAAATTCCACCCAAACTTATTCTTCAGCATGTTTGAGGGTACATTATGTTGGGCCATATTACCCCAATGGCCATATTCACCTGAGTTACCCAAATTTGTAAATGGTGCTAGTGCAGTGATCAGTGGGGTAGTATTATGGGAAGAAGAAGCTTGTCTGTGTATGGGAGAAGATCTTGGGAGTATCCCACCACTTCCCCTTATGCCTTGAGGTAAAATGAGGAGGGGATAGAAGCCAGAAAGAGAAACACCCTGGAATCGAAAATACCAGCAGAAAATAAAAATATTTTAACGGAAAGATGAAGTGGTCTGGTGAGAGAGAAAATGAGGTCAAAGGAAGTACATGAACAAAGAAGCAAAATAAGAAACCTGGAGGAAAGAAGACACACAATAGACTTTTACAAGTATTTATATTTGGCAATGCATCAATGGAACGAGCAGAATGAAATCAAAGAAGCAGACAGGTAATTCAGGGAGACAGAGGAATGAAATTCAGGTTTAATAGGGTATTGCTGCAGAAGAAGACTGACATGAGAAGTGCTTTAAGATTTTGACAAGTGAATGAAGAGTTTAGATTGGAGCTCCCTGAGGAAGAATTTACATGCAGGCTTTTTTTCCCATAATCATTAAGAGAGTTTGGTCTTGAGAATAGTTAAAATGTTTCAATGACAGGGCTGAGGAGACCTTCAGAGAGAAGCAAGCAAATCATGACCTATGACCTCAAACCATGTCCATGAGCATGTCCATGTCCATGATTCTAAGAGCATCAGCTATTGGCTCCATGACCCTCTTTCAAGAGCCTCTACAGTAATTATAAAGCAAAGTTTCAATCCAACAAGGCAAATTTTCATCTTCCAATTTATTACATAGGTGAATATAGTGTATGTTGCTCATTCATCTCTTGCTTCATTTGTTTAAGAGAATTAATCTTTGTATCTTGAAAAGAATTGTGTTGATCTTTCCAGGTTATGAAAATGGTGACAACTCTCACAGTAAATGAGAGTGGATGTATATGGTACTCAAAGCGTCCTGGAGCAGTTCTAGATGCTGGAACAATAATAGCCCGTCTGGATGTAGATGATCCAACAAGAGTCACCAAGGCCCAGTTATTCAGTGGGAGTTTTGCCCCAAATCCTGATATGGCATTGCCCTCTGTCCCCCTGAAACTAAATCAAGTTTTTGCTGCTGCAAAGGCTACACTGGAGAACATCTTGCAGGGTGAGTCATATGCTCAGGTACAGTATGACTGGATTTTGGTATTCTCACCTTATACCAGGCATGTTTTCTGAGTCTTTCCCTTTTGGTGACTGGAACATGAAATTTGACTTGTACTCCCTGGGTCTTTTCATAAAAATGACATTTTAGTAGTTACTGCAAGCTTTTAGGGAAATAGTTGTGCCAAGGTGCAAGTTTTGGTTCTTATAATGCATTGTTACTGTTACTCCTTTAAGCATTTGCAAAATATAGTTTGCGGCATTTGTTCTACTCATTGAGAGACCTTGAAACTCCAGCTTGTTGACCCATAAATCAAAGCATCAGGCTTCTGGAAGCTATCAAGGCTGTTGGGTGAAACTATTGGGTTGGAAAGAAAGTCTTGCAACACTCTGCGCTGTAAAAGGTTTTAAAATATTGAAATAACTTTACGTTAAAGTCAGATGTTACATTACTGGTAACTTGTCTATGACATGTTCCCAATGCACAGGTAACTGCTCGATCGATGCCCTTTGCCCAGAACTCTGGCGATTGTGAAGCGAAGAAACGGCCGACATCATTTTTGAGCTGTGCTTGATTGTTGAAGGCCTTGTCCCACAGGTGATTCTTGAGGGCCCAGAACAAGTGATAGTCGGAAGGGGCCATGTCCAGAGAATACCCTGGATGGGGTAAAACTTCCCAGCCCGGTTCTGAAATTGTCCGGCAAATCATCTTTGCAACATGTGGACGAGTGTTGTCATGCAGAAGGAGAACTTTGTCGCATTTGGGACGCTCTTTTTGAATGACGCCAGCCAACTTCTGAAGTTGAGCAGCATAGACGACGGCAGTCACGGTGGTACCGGTTGGCTAATGACGCCAGCCAACTTCTGAAGTTGAGCAGCATAGACGACGGCAGTCACAGTGGTACCGGTTGGCAGGAGCTCATAGTACAACATTCCTTCTGAATCCCACCAACAGCAGAGAAGAACTTTCTTCTCTTGGAACCCTGGTTTCGGTTCGTGTGGCAGCAATTCTCCTCGTGGAAGCCACTGACTATTGCGAGTATGGTTGACATAGAGGACCCAGCTCTCATCTCCAGTAACGATTTCCTTCAGAAGGTCCTTTCTGTGTGGACAAAGGAGCAGCGATTCGCAGACACTGACATGGCTTGCTTTGTCAGAGTCGCTGAGCCGATGAGGGACCCATGTCGAATAAACCTTCCGATAGCTGAGGTCATTCAGATGGTTGCCGATGGCCATATGGGTGACTCCAAGTGTAGTTGCTGATTTGCGAGTGGTGGCGTTTGGCTTTGCGTTGAGGGTGTTCCGCAGGGCTTCGTCATCGACTGTAGATGTATCTCCGAAGGTCGTGTCGCCAGATTCCAAGCGTTTGAACCATCGAGACACTGTGGAATAGTGGACGACGTTACCCTTGAATGCAGCGTAGATGGTGTCCTTGGAGGAACTCGTAGACGATGGGGCGAAGAGTTGCTTGTTCGATCGGAGCCATGGCTGCCAACTAATGGCAAAAGCCACCTTATATACCCCAAGGGCAGAAGCTTCGAGAACATTCCAGGATATACAAATGCAAAGCCCCGCCCATCATTCCTTTGAAAATTTTTATAAATAGTTTTAGAAAGTGTTGCAAGACTTTCTTTCCAACCCAATATATTCTCACCAATTTATAGTCCTAGATGCTCAACTGTTTTGGCACAGGGTAATTATGCATACAAACCTGCATGTCTAGATATATCCAATTACACATGGTGACTAGTGTCCTCATTTTATGTGCATATCATTTTGCTTTCATCATTTTCCTCTTCACAAAAATCCATCGTTAGTTTTGATGAAATATACCAATCATTTTTACCTGGCAGTGTTGAGATATGCTGTTCCCAAGAAGTTTTGCTACAATAGGTTTTTGGTAAAAGTTTAAATGTTTCATACTGAACAGTGAAATGAATTCAAAAGCAATATGAAGCATATGGACATGACAGAAATAATTTGTTCATATTTGAGGGGTGATCAAAAAGTTCTGGGACTGAATTTTTTATGACACTGCAATGAATCTTTCCAGCTACTGATGGTTATATCCTTCAAACTAGTCCTATTTGGCATCTACACAAATTTTCTGGTGCTCCTTCAGCCGTTGGAAACATTGCTGACACTTATGTTTTTGAATCACCAACAGTGCTCACATTGTGTTTACAATTTTGCTTTGAATGCCTGAAGTCTCCTTCATTTCAGCAAACTCTTTAGCTGAGGGAACAAAAGGAATTTACTAGGAGCTAGATCATGCGAGTTGGATGGATTATGAAGCACAAGTATTGGTAGGTAGGTTAGACGTAGGTCAAAAACTGCTGAAACTGAAAAAGGAAGGAAATTTCAGGACATTTAAAGCAGCATTACAGATGCACCATGAACACTGCTGCTGATTCCAAAAGATTAGTGTGAGCAATGATTCCAGCAGCTGAAGAAACAGAAAAAATTGGGTAGATGCCAAAGAGGACTAATATGAAGGATATACCCATCAGAAGTCAGAAAGAGTCACCACAGCATCATAAAAAATTCAGTCCCAGAACTTTTGTATCACCCCTTGTAGATTCCCTCTGCTTGAGCAACTGCTTCAAACCTAGCAGCTTTACACCATTAGCCTCTAGCTTGGTTCTTCCCAACATGTATGATATCCAAGGGGTGTTAGACACCTAGCAACTTGGAATCTTGGGATTGGTTCAGGTTGTGTTTGAAAAACATACAGGTTTGCAAGGATCTTTGTTGGTGGCTGCTTTTTCCAAGGTCCTGTCTTGTGCATCCTTAGCCTAGGCCATTAATGTGAGTGCAGTAAAAAATAATGCAGAAGAAAGTGTGATGAATAACTTATTCTGAAAGCTATTGAATATTATGGAATACTATTGCATTAACTTTGCTTTTGTTTTATGTATATTCTTGATATCTCTCATTTGGTAACTTTTAATCCAGCTGTTGATGGTATGCAATGCAATCTTCACTGAGAATTTGATCGAACTTCATGTTTTCTGGCTTGATTGATCCAGAATAAAAGAAGAGTACTGAAGATTTCAGACACTAAGCATGATTGCAAAGAAAATGTCAAGAATCAGCTATTCACCATGAATCACTTGAGTAATGATACATGGAGAGGCTCCTCCCCACTAACATTCTGTTGCAGGCAAAATTAGGAGCATGACAAGATGATATCCAGATGATAGTAAACTTGAAAAAGAACCGATATTGAGGCTATCATATGTTATGAGAATTATTTCTGGGCCTTTATAAAGTCCAATAATCTATTCTATTCTGACAGCAGTTATTGGATTTCTTGTTTCATCAATTTTATTATTTTTTTTAGGCATAGAGGAACATTAAAGAGACTTGCATCTTATTTGAAGCCAGGAGGCTTAATCCTCTTCCGAGACTATGGCCTTTATGACATGGCTCAGCTTCGCTTCAAGAAGGGTCGGTGTCTTGCTCAAAATTTTTATGTCAGAGGAGATGGAACAAGAGTCTACTTCTTTACACAGGGTTTGTTGGACAGCTATTGGAGATGTATTCTTGCTGTGACACTTAATATTTCCTTGTATGTTCATTTGTATAAATTGAATATTTTGACAGAGGAAGTCCACAAGTTGATGGAATCTGCTGGCTTGAAGAAGCTTCAGAATCTCATGGACAAGCGTCTCCAAGTGAATCGGGGGAAGCAAGTAACCATGTACAGAGTCTGGATTCAGGCCAAATACCAAAAACCAAGATGACAGATACATGGCTGCTGGAGTTTTTCTTGCCGATGCCATTTTTGTTACCATCAAAATTAGAAAAATGACTTGAACTGATTGAAGTTATAATTCATGAAGTGTTGAAAGGGTATTAACATTGTTGTGATACCCTTTTAAGGTACTATGGGAACATAAAAATCGACCCCCCTGGATCAAAATTCCGCTTTATAATTGTTGTAAGGGATCTCAAGAAAGGGCCTTTTGGAGCTGATTGTTGGCTCGCTCAGGTCACCCCCGGGGCCATGATCTGTGGTCAAAGGTCAAAATTTGCATGCTTCTCTTTGAAAATCTCCATCTCCCCAACCCTTGGTCGCAGAAACGTCAAATTTGCACCATTCTCCTTGAGACATACAGCGCTACATGGAAAAAAAATAAATACTCGTATGCAACTGTCGTTCCCGAGACGCCATGAAGCTTTAACTGCGAATTTTTCTGTTTTCGGATTCTGTTTTTTCGTTCTCATTCCTCGTAGAAATTTTCTATCGGCAAAAGCATGCTCCAGTTTTTGGAGGCTAATATGGTCCACCTTTTTGCGGAGTTGCGCATGGTTTCCTCCTACCGTTCCCCCTCAGTGTTCGGTGATCCGCCTGAAAAATCCACTTTTTTTTTGGAAGGGACGTGACGTTGACGGACAATACTCGAAAATGAGGCTGAATAAAAAAAATTCCTCTGGTAGATCTCCGTAAAAGTCTCTTGGCTAGCCTAATATACATTTTCATGAGAATCCGTCCACTATCCTAGAAGCTTATCGATTTTTCCTGCGGCCTCTTTTGACAATTTAGGTCATTTCTTCCATTCCGGATCGATTTTCTCTTCTCACCGGCCAAGAATGCAGGATTTTTTGTGCCTATCCCATAGAGGGATATTTCACGCATCCAATGACACCGAGATTGCTTACTCTCTCCAAAGGGATAGAGAATGCGAGGCTTTAATTACCGATTTGCATGAAAACTTGAATGCTCGCACGCAGCTCTTCCCTCTTTGACTTCCCTCCCGCTTCGCACAGACTTGTGCGTGCTCGTGATTGTGTGTCTGTGTGAGTGAGAAGGGGGAAGAGGACCGACGCGACTTCAACTGGCGCCTATCGCTTTTAATTTTTTTTTCCTTGTACCTATGACGCCTTTTTTTTTTCATCAAATGCTCCGCTTTCGCTTCCCCCTCCTGAGAGTCCTCTCGGCACGTCACCGCTCACCCCCAACCTGTCTACTCTCTCCTGAAGGCATTCCTTATGAAAACATGGGTGCGGATAAATGTCTTTCGGCACGGTTGTTAATTTTGGGGGTATTAAAATGGAGATAGGAAACAAAAATTCACACGAATGATTGAATCAGGGTCATAAAACTTTATAAGGTATCCAAATTATCCTACGCAACGAAGGGGGAGCTCAAAGGATCAAAATACATACAAATTAATAGACAGAGGGGCTTTAAATATTTCCTCCCCTCATTCTCTCCCAAGGAACGAAGGCACTTCTAAGATATTGTTACGGAGGGAGGAACGATGGACGGACGACGGAAGGCGTGAGAGGCCGAAAGAAAGCCAAGGAACGGCCGGGAATATGCCATCCTCATCCGTCACAATATTTTGAATCTCCGAGACTTGGAAAAAGGACTTAATCGGGATAAGGAATTAGTTCAACCCTTTGGACTGAGTATCCTCAAAACGAGGACAATATATTTCGAAACGACTATGAAAATTGGCTGCCGAATCATGCGCTCCTCTGACCAAGAGCGATTTAACTGAGACCATGTTGAAGTATCATGCAGCAATCGACCGCGTTTCTCCTGCATGCCTCTTTCATCGTCTACGATCACGAGCTGCTTTCCTCAGAGTCAATGGTGTGATGGAATAACCAGATAACACCTACATCACCTTTCCAGGTGAACCGGTAGGATTAGGTAGGATTTTTCCCATTTGTGCCTCAAATGGCCAGCATACTGTACGAAGCATGATCCTTTTTTCCCTCTCTCACTCATTTTTCCCCCCCTGTCTAGACTTCTCTTCCCGTGCATGGGAGATGCGAGGCGCCAGCACACTGCTGTCTCACTACTTCCTAAAAAAAATTTTTTTTTTTCATTATTGCCCCTTGCTTCACAATCCATCTTTTTCCACGTTCGCTTGAAAGGATTCGGCATTAAAAGGTATTTCAATAATACTTCAGAATTTCCACTCGCGAGGCATCCAACATCTGGTATGAGTAGGGATGGTAACTCTCATGTTTTCCTCCCAACCAATACGCAAAGAATATTACGAGATTGTGATTTTTCAGGTTTCACTCCCTAATGAAAAAAAAAATTCAGCCGGAGAGAAAGTGTAGTAATCCCTGCTGTTCCTCAGTCCTAAGGTCTTGACTCATTCCAGTTCGTAATAGGGTATTGGTCGACGATTATCGCTTCCTGCGAAAGCTTTTATAAAATAGGGGCAGCCGTAGAGATGTACCTATATTTGTAACACCCTCTCCCTAGCCCCCCCCCCCCCCCTCGTCATTTGATCTTTGACNCCCCCCCCCCCCCCCCCCCCCCCCCCCCCCCCCCCCCATCCCTCGTCATTTGATCTTTGATATGTAAGAGTTTTCAGGGATGCCTATTTGAAACTTTTATTTTTTAGTTAATTTTATTATCTTTTTGCTTTCATTACTTGCTACTTTTCTCCCTTATTTTCCATTTTCATAATATTATTTCTCTCCGATTATTAGCGACGAAAACAACGATCAATCCAGGGCGCAGCTCATTCCTCTCGTGAAGACTTTTTAGACCTCAGCGAGGAAATGGATTAGGCATGGATTACCTACCATACTGAATGTGTAAGGAGGAATGCATACATTTAGGTGAAATCCCATCGGAGAAAGAAAAGTATCCCGCAGCTATAATTTGTGACTTTTTTTTAGCATTTTCCGTAATCGCTCGGCGCGGTCCCATGAGAGTCCGCAATGAGATGCAAAAATCCTGATGTAACACAGCTTTATAGTGCCTTTAGAAGGTTTCTCCTGGATATGGGGGCCGGGGAGAAGGGGGGGGGGGGGACAGAAGTAAATCCATTCCTCAGACACACGTTCAGACTGAAAATGGCGGGAACGTCTTGGCACGTGAGAGGGGAGAAGAGGAAATGAAGAGGTAGACTCAGTGAAAACACACAAGAGTTTCATTGACCATTATCGTCTGCTGGCCATTATTGCATTGATTCGGCCTGCAGCCTAATCAATGCAATGGCAGCTCCACTTAAGTCTTCATCATCAGGGAACCTTAGTACCTCACTGCCTGTGATGTTCTGCACGAAGGATTGGCCAACATTTTCAGACATGACTGACTCCACAGCCCTCCAATCCTTTGTCAGCCTCTTGACTAGTAGATAAGCATTGACAGGATTGGCAAGGAAATCTTGAGCATTAATAGTGTGCCCTAAGAACTTCAACTCCTTCCTAAGGAAATTGCATTTCTGAGGCTTCATTCTGAGTTCACTTTCAGCTTTTGCAAGACAGTTTTCAATTCATCAAGATGCTCTTGAAACGTTCTGCTGAAGACGATGATATCATCTAAATATACAAGGCACTTTTCATAGAGAAGACCTGAGAGAATAAGATCCATAAGTCTTTGGAAAGTACTAGAGGCTCCAACCATGCCAAAGGGCATTCGTAGCCATTCGTACTTCCCGTTTGTGATAATAAAAGCCGATTTTGGGATTGCTTCAGGAGCCAATGGGATCTGCCAATATCCCGAGGCGAGATCCTTTGAGCTAAAAAAGTTGGCCCCTCCCAATGCATCAATAGTTTCGCTAATCAGCGGAAGTGAGTAGGGATCTGGTTTGGTGATGTGAGGCCGCCTCGGGTCTCCCGGTCCCGGCGAGTCCCCTGGCATGACCGGGGAGGACCGCTTCCCCAGCAGTGAGTTCTTGACTGAATACACATCGTCATGATCATCTTCATCATACTTTTAACATCTCGTTCTTCGATTCACACTCGACAACCTTGAGGTATTTTACACGTACTTACCAGATATGAACCGAAGACAATCTAGCCACCCATCCATTAGACATTCTTCCCTTTCATTCAACATGTTATTAATGCCTCTTTCGAAATTTAGCCCACCCAGCACTGCCTCCGCTGCCTTCCAGGACCCTTCTCCCTCTGCTCTCCTTCTCCTCCCCAGTTGTTGGGTCTTCGCTTGGGGATGTTTTGGTTGCAGGAATGAGGGATCCGCGTGTATCCCATTCTGCATCAAGCAGACCATGACCCCATGGAATATTCCAGGGTCTTGGGTCCTGTTGCAGGGGTGCAGCATCACCTCGGGCCTGTTGCAATAACGTCCTTACATCACAACAACTCAAAATACTGTGAGGGCCATTTCCAATGTTTACTCACCTACCGCGGGCCGCAGTCTTGCTGACCATAGCTGTAGCCTGTAGGGCAAGGGTGCCCAAAGTTTTGGGTCAAGAGGGCCGCATAGCCTGTCGGGTAAGGGCTCGCGGGCCGCAAAATCGGAAACTTGCTCTTCTGCATGATACATATAATAATAATAATAATTGCTTACCTAATTTTTACTGTGGGACGTATGTAGCTGGGATTTTCCAGCAATCATCCGGGGATACCTTGGCTTGTAGTTGGTAGTTGAGATTCGCAGGACTGAGTGAAGATGTTCATCGGTGAGTCTTGTCCGCCATTTTAATTTATTGAGGTTCATGATTGAGAAAGTCTTCTCGCAAATGTATGTACTTCCAAAAAGAGATACCATACGATGGCCGTGCTTACGCAGAGCTAGGTACGTTTGGGCTGGAAGGTCTGAGTAGAATTGGTCAAGGTTAAGGTCACGATAGGAAGCCTTCAGCTCAGTGCACTCTTGCAATTCGATGAGTTCCATCTGCATGCTTGTGGGTGCAGTTTCAGGGTCGCATGAAAAGGGATCTGCAAAAATTGCCAGATCTTGTTCATGAGAACGGAAGTCTACGAATCTCCTGTTGATTTCTTCTAGCAAACTTTGAATATTCCCAGAGTATTTCTCGGAGCTCAGTGAGTTGAATACGATGCCCTGGTCCTGGTCCTCGTCCTTAGAGAGCTCTTCACAGGCTGGGAAGTGAGCTACGTTGCCTTCTCTCAATTGTTTCTGAAGCAGTTTGAGTTTTCTTTCAAAGGCTTTCACATGGTCAAACAGTGTTGACACGAACTTCCCTTGTCCCTGGAGCTTCAAATTCAATTCATTAAAATGACCCATGATGTCAACTAAGAATGCTAAGTCACATAGCCATTCGATGTCCGCTAGTTGCGTCAAGTCACGTCCTTTCTGTGACATGAATTCCTTGATTTCTTTGCGAAGAGTAAAGAAGCGTTTCAAGGTTGCACCTCTATTGAGCCATCGAACTGCCGCAAAAAAAACTACATCACCATGCTCGGCTTCACATTCTTCAAGGAAGGTCTTGAACTGGCGATGGTTCAATCCATTGGACTTAATGAAGTTCACACATTTGACCACAATGTCCATGACGTTATCTAATTTGAGGACACGAGCTATAAGAGCTTCTTGGTGGATTATGCAGTGATAATGGATGATCTCAGATCCATTCATTTCATTCACCTTTTCTTTCAAGAGGGCAACAACACCTGAGTTTGCTCCTGTCATGGATGGTGCACCATCAGTTGTAACGCCAACTAGAGATGACCATTGCAGACCGTTTTCATCCATTGCACCGCAAACTGCGTTAAACAAGTCACAGCCTCTCGTGCGGTCCTTCAGGCTCACGAGTGCAAGTAATTCTTCCATAACCTTGAAGTCTTCTGTGACGCCACGAAGGAAGATAAGGAGCTGTGCTGTGTCACCAATGTCAGTGCTCTCGTCCAAAGCCAATGAAAATGCCACAAATTTGTCTGCATTGTCACGTAATTTATTGTGAAGGTCGTTGCCTATCTCCTCCACTCTACGCGATATTGTCATTCGAGACAAGCTTACATCATGAAATGTCACTTTTTTTTCTGGACACACAATATCCGCCACCTTCAACATGCAATCTTTGATGTATTCACCATCACTGAATGGTTTCCCCCGCCTTGCGATTTCGTGGGCCACAACATAACTAGCATGGACAGCAGCTTCTTTAGTTTGTGTCACTTTCTTGAAGATCGATTGCTGAGCTAGCAGTCCCTTGCGCAAATTCTCAGCTTTTTGCTTCCTTTGATCACCCACAAATTGATCAAAAGTTTTGTGATTCGTCTCATAATGACGCTTCATGTTGTACTCTTTCATCACTGCTATGTTTTGCTTGCAAATTAAACACAGAGGTTTCCCATCTTGTTCAATGACAAAGTACTCGTGAGTCTACTTATCTTGAAATACGCGATTTTCTTCATCGATACGACGTTTTCTACTTGCTGCTGACATGGCCACAGAAAAATAGATTCCAGCTTGTAACTCACAAACCCACACTGTCGCTTGGTATGGGGCCACGGCTCGACTGATAATCCCAGTCCTCGTGGGATGAACCCATTTCGACGACATTGTCCCTTCTTGTTTGTCCTTTGAGAGACGAGTGACATACAAGCTTGACAGATGAGGCTGGAGCAATAAAGTCCAGGGTTTTGCTCCTATACGCCCTTCATCCCTTCCAGGTGGGATTGTAAAAATAGATAGGGATGTCGGAAGGTGGCATAAAATGTTATAAATTATTTTCATGCGTATCCCATACTGCGGTGTGTTTGCGATGTCGTGGCGGCCATTGGGAGGATTCTGATGCTATCAATTTGTCAGAAAAATTTGCATGTAAAAATGATAAAATTAAGTTCCTTTGAGTGATGCGTGCAATGCATATTTTCAGCAGAATCTGGCAGCAATGCAGATTCTCTCACAGATGGCACCTGGTTGGCAAGTCCAGTAAAGCGCCTTATAAAAGAGTCAGGCAGGAGGATTCCATAAGCGAAAATTTTGGCCTGGAATAACCCGTATTCACCCACGAGTGAATTTAATCCTAGTAAGGCTATACTTCGTTCATTCCGCTGCACGTAAAATCATACATTCCTTAACATCATAAACATTTTATACTTATTTTCTCCAAAACTCTTCGCGGGCCGCACTTTGGGCACCCCTGCTGTAGGGAGTCATAGTAGGACTTACAACACCACCCGTCACGGCGGGCCGTATGTTGTGCACCCTTGATCTAGAAGGATGAATGCCCCTCTCTCAGGGTTCTTGCTTCTTTCCTCTTTACTCCTAGGAGTGGGTTCATGACTTAACCTTTTAAGCGCCATATTTTTTTGTAAATTGTCTAAATGTATGCCTATTTTAGGAGCCTGGAGCTACTCAAGGAGTAGAGATATATATTTGTTGTAATGGAAAAAGTTATTAGGCATGATTTATAGTATATTGTGAGAATAATTTTTTTAAAACCTAATGAATATATGACGTCATGAATTAGCGGCCATCTTGGATTTCTTGAAAAATCTTCAAAAAGTCACTTTTTTTTACTGATTTGCTCACACTGGCTTCACTAATTTTGAATAAAAGCACACTAGAAATATCTCTTTCACGCTTTGATTGTTTTCTGAGATAAGTATCCATCTAAATATTAGATATTTATTTTAAAAATACAATTAGAAATTTATGGTTGACCAATATATACCTACCACTAGCACCAGCGGAGTCCGGCATCCAGTGAACATCAGATAATTGCTCGAAAACGTTGAATAGAACGACACCATGAAATATGGACGAAATGAAAGCATGACTCTTGCGCCATCTATTGGTGATGGTTGGAACTGACTATTATATTTTTGGACTCTAGGGCGCTAAATTTGAAGGGGTATCTCAAGCCGCCAAACGGCGACGGTGGCGCTTAAAGGGTTAACTAAAGCCGTGAGAAGCGGAAATTAAAGTATGATAAAATAATTATTTATTATATTTCATTTGTATGAAATTGTTCCATTGAATAATTACTGGTGTTTGAAAAATGCCAATTCGACGTTTCTTTGGGAATCGTTGCACTTGCATCATAAAATTCATAGACATAGCGAGAGATGAGGGGGAACCAATATATCAATGATTTCAACAAGGTAATTTTTTATTTTTAAGAGGATAAATATTGCAATTAGGCACAAATTCGCGATTATGCCAATTAGATGAATAGCATGGAAAGGTTGAAAGCTGAGAAGGCGGAATTTTTTTCTGATGGTAAACTTCATCCACGTGTATCTCGGCCTTTGTCGTAGAGATCTACAATTTTGGCTCTTCTCTATTCTTATAATAATCTGATTGCATGCCAAAGTAACGGAATCTTGAGGTGGTTGAACACAGACCGACGGCACGTTTGAGGTGATGCACCGATAAATAGGACATCGTATGGCTAAAGAAAGGATGAAAAAAACAACTTACCAGCCGTCATTCCAACACCTTGAAGCGGTGCAACGTCGATTGCTACTCGGAAATATGATCTGGTCGCAAAAACAAAGATGCCTTTCATCTATAGCAGCGTCTTTTTGTGTAACGGGACATTCACGGTATCCCCACACAATCCCCACACACCATTGACTGCCAGAACAAATAATACAGGGGTAAATAAAAATTCTAAGACCCAGGACTTATTCGTGTAAAGATTTAAGATGCAGCATCACTATGAAGTCAACCACTTGAACACTTTTCCCGTTAGGAGTGCTTGCTTCCCAAATGTGGCTTCAATTTACTGGGAACCATGGAGAAGACATCACCACATGTCACACACTCCGGACGAGTCAGGCCACCGATTCGTTTGACATTCAAGTCAAAGCAAACGTAACTTGTGTCGCATTTCCGCTATTTTGTTTTTCTCCCGGCTTGCTTATCTCTGCTACGCTTTTTGTCTGATTTACAACCAGCACCAACCTTTTCCGCCGAGTTTTCTCTTGGACATGCGATAAACTTTTCCACGCTGGATTGCAACATTAAAACTCGGAAAACACCAGAGAGAAATCCAGGCTATCTGGTTTTACAACGTTGGAACAGAATCTTTCACAAAAAGACAACTATGTATCTTGAACACCATTGAACACAGCACAAGTGACCGATAGCCGAAAGGAGTGCAAGAAGTACGTTTTATTTTCATTTAAAAAAAAATTATCAGTAGATCAGAAGCTTCATGGAATGAAGCCTATATAATGCGCGCGATATGGCACCTCGTGACTCTCGAACGGGCAGAGACTGACTGAAAGAAGATTTCAAACGGTGATAGGCATCAGTCAACAGAGGATTCAATTTCGATTCCTGGGAAGCAGATTTCCATGAATCCTAGTAGAAAATCATGGCTCAAGGGGATCGTTGCCTTCGCGTCCGAACGCTAATCGATAGGAAATGATGGGGCATTTATGGGAGAAGCATAGAGCGATTTTGAGCAACCCTGTATTTCGTTGTTACTCAAAAAGAAAATGCAATATTTGCAGTGACGACATCCGCTTCAGTGGCGTCGTCACTCGCATTCCCGAGGCCGTTCGCGCTCATCTGCCTTCCAGTCTCGTTTCCCAGCGCGACGCGGAGGAGGAATTTCGTTCCGGTTCGGTCGGTTCTGAAATAAAGCGACGGGATTCAGAATTTGAAAGCATAGGAACGTCCACGGTGATGCACTATGTTGTGCCTCCGATAAAGCATAAAAGAGCGACGGAAGTCCGCATTCCCTGCGGCCTTCGATAGGAACCAAAGGAAAGAATAGCTCGACTCGCTTTCGTTTCCTCTCGTTTCCTCGCATCCGCCAGTGATTCCATCGCCCTCAGAGGAAGATGAAGGCGAGCCGTTACACGATCTGCGCTTTCTTCTTGTGCTTGGCCGGGTTCGAAGCGGGGCAGTCCAAGGTCTCGGAGGATGGGTCGGGTCCTCTCAATATCGCCTCCTTCAACATTCAGCGCCTCGGGAAATCCAAGCTCAAAAAGTCTAACGTCGTCGACGTCATCGTCCAGGTCCGCACTTTCGTTCGTTAGATTCTGTTGGTAGTTCTGTTCGTCGTGCTCCCACCGGTTCTCCCGAGGATCTCATCGTTCTGTGAAGGGTCCAAGATCGATCGTCGTGGGATCGTAATTCTTGATGGAACGATGCAGAATATCGCACGATTTTCATTAGGATAAGGAGACATATAATGCCATTTGACATGAGATTTTGGAGTCCGTCTGTTGCCTTTCTCGAAGTTTCGAAGACCAGTTCCAAATCAGGGAGAAACCTTGACTCCAACTTAGATGTCAGGACGACAAAACCCAAAGACAGGCCCAAATGACATCCGACTCAGTAGAGGTATGAATGAGGAGTGGACTGATAGAAGTCGTCTGAATAAGGCAATTCATGTCTCTCACTTTTTCAGGCCTAAAATTCCTTAGCGAACACGCTGAGTGACATGAAAAGTAATTTCACACCCAAGTGACATTTGTGAAGAAGTGTTTTGTGTGTTTGCAATCACGCCGATGAAAAACTTTCGAAATGATTGTTTCTTCCGTTTCCGCTTCTGAAAAAAAAAATCCTGAGGGCAGACTGATGCAGATTAAAATTCCTTTTTTTCTTGAATACCCTGTACACCAGATTGCAAAGGCGTTCCCAGAGGGCATAGTGCCAGCCTGTTTGTTCCTCCGGATTCCAGCCTTCATCTCGGCATTTCCTGGGTTGACACAACCGGGATCCATGCAATTTGCTTAAGCTTGCATAGCTTCAGGAACGATTTTTCCTCTTCGGCCTTGGCTTAGGCCAGACCTCTATAAAACTTGTCGCGCTGCGATCGAGGATCGATTGAAATTCTTCTCCATCAAAGGCTCGACGAGACAGGGAATCGTAGGAGCTTTATGATTAGAAAAAAAGAAGATGATAGGACATGGAATGTACAGGTGAGAGATTCTCTTCTACCAGGGATACAGGTGTGGTCATCTCGCGCGCGTCATCTTGCGTCATCTGGTGTCGGAGCTCGCTTCCTGTAAACGCACAGATTCCGAGAGTTCCCCCGGGAAACGAACGAGGGAGGGAATCCTCCCAGATCTTCTCAGAAACATCTGGACATTCCTGGAAGAAGATAATATTCAATGGAAAGTTAAGGTTTATTTTGTTACTTCCCTTTTTTTCGTTACGGTGTGAGCTATTTTCGTATCTACGGCTTTGCCACTAAACCCCCCACGAGAGACATCTAGTGGAGGCCGAGTGAAGACCTGGAATTAGAGAGAAATCTCCCTCTTCGCTCTGGACGGTCCAGTTTTGTTTATGGACTTGTGTCTCACCTTTTTACTCGAGCGCATCACGGAGTGATCTTTTACACTCCCCAATTTTTCTGAAATATCTTTATTCCTTACTCTGCGACGGGGCTTTGTTCCTCTCACTCCCACCGTTCTTTCTACAGATCCTATCCAATTACGACGTGGTAGCGGTACAGGAGCTGCTCGACGACAACGGGGAGATTCTCAATCCACTGGTGGAGAGGTTGAACCGAGTTTCCCCGGAACCATACGAAGCCGTCGCCTCCGATCGGATCGGATCAACCTCCTACAAAGAGAAATACCTTTTCCTGTACAGGTAAAAGCTCGTACACGAGTACGGTGAACAAGCGAAACAAGACCTTATTCTTTCGTGAAATCACCTACGATTGGTGAATAGAGTCGGGCAGAGACTGTGCGATTGTCCTTCGGGGTTATTGTCCTTTATCTGCTCCAGTCACGTGAGACTGGTCAAAATGCGAGAAATAGGTCCCCCCCCCCTATTTCTCGCATTTTGAAGCTGCTTGAGATGCATGCTGAGCAGTGGCCTCTATTCACCCTCACCTATGCTCTAACTGCCTCATTCTCTGGTGGTCAGAATCTCCAAAGTACTTCGTATTCGGCTTCAATTCTCTGCAACAGCAACCGTTCCCGACTGTCCCACCCCGAGAGGTTGAAATGTAGGCGCGAACTCTGCAACGTTTCCTACAAGAAAAGAAAGATGTAATCTTCTCCGGTCTAACATACGCATTTTATTTCTTACCCGGTTCCCTACCCACAAGGGTGCATAGGAAAAATCGGGATACTGACATATTTAGAAGGTAAAACGATCGACCGAGAACTTCTTCTGGAAACATGGTATCTCTTCCTTTCGCATTCGCAGGCCGAGTCGTGTGGAACTGCTCGAAGAGAGTCTCTATCCGGACCAGGCTGGGGAATTCGAACGACCTCCTTACGTCGTCACCTTCCGCACTCCCACCACCGGTAGCTTATCCCTTCGGCTTAATCTCTCATTAGCAATTTCCTGGGAATATATCCATCGGATAAACTCACCGATGCACCCAAGGGAAGTTGCTCCGATGCTTTCTTCAAGATCAGTCTCGAAAGAGTCCTCGGTAAGCTACTCGAGATGGAGAAACAGGAAGAAGCAAATGGTATCAGAAATTCAAAGCAAGAATTGTAAGATTTGCATGGGAGAACTTCCGAAGTTGCAGGGGGAAATTACCCAGCTTGTACGTATGGTAGCTATGCGAAAATGAGGAATGTGGCATTTCCGTGTTTCTTGTCCAGAACTGAAGAAACTGAGTTTCATCAACGTCCATACGAAGCCAGAGAGAGCCGACTCGGAGATCTCTGCCCTTGCTACTGTCTCTGACTGGGCCCTCTCCAAAACTAAAGTTCAGGTATGCTCATGTAGACCGTATAGTGTCGACATCTCTTCAGATGCGACTTATTATTCTCTGGGAGGTGGGTCCCACGTTTCCTTTGATGGAGTTTCTCGCTACCTTCCAAGTGGAAAGGACTTTGCAATTAACACTGATTTATCGCCGAGTGTAAAGGCGAAAATCGATATTAGTAATTGCATGAATTCCACGGTCGTGGGAATGGGACGAACAGGACCAGATCATTTTGGGAGATTTCAACGGAGGCTGCAGTTATGTGACCGGGAAGGAATGGGAAGCGATCGAACTTCGAAGGAGAAAGGAGTTCCGTTGGCTCATCCCAGATCACGCGGACACCACGACCAAGGACACCGTCTGCCCCTACGATCGGTAAGCGCCCGGGAAAGGAGAACGTGAGAAGCCTCGATGATCGCGAGAAAGACTTTAACCCTTGATGATCGAGGTTCGTGGCGCGGGGAGAGAAGCTGTGGAACGAAGTGGTGGAGGGGAGCGTCGGTATCAGGCGATTCGACACCGAATTCGGCCTTACCGAAGCCGAACGGGATGATATCTCCGACCACTACCCCATTCACATGAAGGTCTTCCCCCCGAGGAATCTCCTTTTCTTCGTCGCTTGTCGATGCACGAACGGCATCTGTATTCCGACGAACAGCTGAAGCCTTCGGCGGGACGAGAGAAGAAGGGCGAGGAGTATTACGTGGAGGCGGGGGTGGAGGCTCGAGTCCAGAGCTCATCCATCACGAAACTCGTGAAGGCGGCATCCTTCAGTCCCGCCGGATTCCAGATCGGAGTCTACCATCTCGACAAGGCTCCTTCTCCCGCCCTTGTAAGCTATCATCGTCTGTTTCTTCTTTTTTTTTTTAATAATTGGTGGTCCTCCTTGCTTGAAAGAAAAGGCGCTACTCTCTGTCTGTCTATCTGTTTGTCTCCCACTTAAATTGTCTGACGATAGCTAAAAAAAATCGGCATGGACCAAATACAACCTAAATTCGTTTATGGTCAAAGCCATGCCAAGTAAAAAAAAAAACAAACAAACAGAAAATTTGTTAGCGCGAAATTCAAGTTTGTAATATGCTCATAGCGGAGCAAGACGAGCTATCGTCAGCCTTCATGTACCTCGATATAAATGGTCATGGACATCGCCCTATCTACGAGGTCAGGGTGTGATGTAATAAACCAGAGTCGCCTGCCCTCTTCCAACCTTCGTTCCATCCATTAAATTCATTGTTCACCAACGGAGAGAAAGGCGGTTGTCCGATGCGTATGGCAGCGTAGACGAGGTAGCTTGCAAATCTCGTGCAATCCCCTATCTGGTAATGCTATACGTCTTTGTACTCTCCTCCCACGTTCTACCTACTCGTCGCATACTTTTTCTCTTCTCGATGGTCATTGAAATGAGGCTCACGACTAGACAGGTCCTGCCCGTTTCGGATATGATTGCCAAGAGATGAGGAGGTTGATTAAGGGCGAGGAGACGAAATAAGGTTTCACATCACGGACTGAGACGGACTTCGAAGTCATTGCGCCACGAAATAGTGTGATGGAGGCTGTGGAGGGCTTAACCACGATGAGCGTTAAATAATAAATTATAAGCTTGTTTGCAGGTGCTAGGTACGTCTGGGTCTTCTCGCGAGAGCGGGGAAGGAACGTTGAACGACTGGAAGAAGTTGATGGAGTCCTTCCCGGACCTCCTCCCTCCATCCACCTTCAACACCCTCAAGAACAAGGTTTGTTGGAGCGAGCGCATCGGCCCTTCACAGTCGAGGAAGGTAGCACTCGGTCTACCGTTTCGTGTCTTCCGACAGATCCTGAACCTCCTCGACGGATCTTCGAACCGAGAGGGGAAAGGACGGGGGGTCTACGCTGCATCTTTCTCATGCCAGAAGAACGACAAGGATTGGAGTTGCCTCTTTAGGGTCAATCAACGCGTCAATCTCTGATCCATAATTATTCCATTTTCTTTTCTTAGCTCTCGTTGCTACTTTTATCATCCTTGGTTATTTTTTTTGCCGTATTGCTTTTTACATTTGTAGTCGATTTCCGATGGAACTCTGTAACCATTGATCAATCATGAATGCATTCTTCTGTTGCCGATGCTGATAAGAATGAATTCATACCTCGTCCGCTGATTTTGAAGGCACTAGCTGAGAAACGTGAATTCTACTCTACGATATTCACTTCCAATGCCAAACCTCACTCATTTTCGGTCTTTTCGAGGAGAGAGGTCTCTCTTTTCGCCTTTCGAATTTTGACATAAATGCCTTAAGAAGGGGGTGATTGACTTTTAATGAAGAACCGGTACTTTCCATTTCTCCCTCGAAACGAAGTCCTGGAAAGTTCCTGCATGCTAAAAAAAAAAAGATGAAATGACGCTTTTCCCACAAGGAGGCCGATCGGTCGTGAGAGCAGTGGGGGAGGGAGGCAAAATGTTGTTTTCGCCTCCCGAAGACATTCTTTATTTTTCGTTCGTTAGAGACGACAGATCCTAAAATAATGCTCGGGCTCACTTAGCATCTCTCCCACGGTCGTCAATCGTGACTGGACTGATTGTGCGGGGAGAGGGCGAGGGTGAGGTGGAGGGGGAGGGGTGAAGCCAAGAGAAAGGAAACCTCTGATCCTCTTCTCGCATATGGTTGGAGGAAGAGGGTTCGCGTTCCTCCCTCCCTCCCATTCCAACTCCTCTTCCATTTTATATACACCAAGATTCTCGAAGTTTTAGCATCACCAATCAAATGTTAAATTGAGTCATCTGCGCAGTTCAAGGAGCTGCTTGCTTTGAAATGCCTGTGGAACATTCAAACATTATGGGAAACTCATTAATCAAACTTGAAAATTCACATATCCATCCATATACCCGTACATAAGAGAAATTGCTCATGAGATTTAATAAAAGTGTCTCAATGGTTCACGTTGGGAGAATGGACACCAGTGATGCGGAAGGCCGCAGTATCTCAGGTCCAACCATGTTATAGGGACTTCCGTTGAGGGTGACCAAGACGAACCAAATCCAGCATGATGTTCGGCTCGGGTACTCCATACTGGCTCAGTCGTCGCCCAGGATAATCAGAACTGCGATAGTCACTGTGCGCCCAGGGTGACTATTGATAGGTTGGCTACTGGGGCCGGGACACCAGCGGTGCGCGAGGCTGTCACTGCCAAGAAGGTAGCCTACCGAGCGTACATGTCCAGTAGGTCTGATTCTTCTAGGGCGTGCTATTCCGAGGCGCGACAAACTGCTGCTCGTGTTGTGGCCAAAGCGAAACAGGAGGTGCGGAAGGAATTCGGCGATCAAATGGAATCAGACTACAGCACTGCCATCAAGGTGTTCTGGCAAACCATTCGGAGGTTACGACAAGGCAGGCAACATGCGCTCCGGGTCATCAAAGACAGAAACGGGGAGGTGTTGACTGCCGAGGCGGATATACTTCGGAGGAAGAAGGAACACTTTGAAGAGCTCTTATTGAAGAACCCACCAACAGTGGACACTGACCTACCCGACCTGGAGCCTCTCAGCGCGGAGACTAGTCTCACCATGGAGAAAGTTCTGCAGGCCATTGCTAGCCTGAAGAATGGGAAGTCTGGTGTGGATGAAATCCGGGCGGAGACTCTGAAAGTAATGGGTACAGATGGATGCTCGTGGCTTTATAGGGTGTGTCAGGCTGCTTGGGAATCGGGAACGGCACCTAAGGATTGGCAAACAGGTGTGGTGGTTCCTCTTTTTAAGAAGGGGGACTCGAGGGAGTGCACGAACTATCGTGAGATCACTCTCCTCAGCATACCTGGTAAAGTCTATTCCAAGGTGCTGGAAAAGTGAGCTCGGGCAGTCGTGGGTGATGCCATCAAGAGGAGCAGTGCGGCTTTCGTGAAGGGCGCAGCACCACGGACCAGCTGTTCACTCTCCACCAGATCCTCGGGAGACATTGGGAGTATGCCAAAGTTGTCTACATGTGCTTTGTGGACCTTGAAAAAGCTTACGATCGTGTACCCCGAGGAAAACTGTGGAGGAGGAAAACTGCAGGAGTATGGGATCAAGGGTCAGCTTTTGCGGGCCGTTCAGTCCCTATACAGCGATTGCAGAAGCTGCGTCCGAGTGAGCGGGAGGAGTTCGGATTGTTTTTTGGTACGCGCTGGACTCCGGCAGGGTTGTGTCCTCTCACCTTTCCTATTCCTCGTGCACATGGACAGGATCTCTAGGTGTAGCCTCGGCCTGGAGGGGGTCAACATCGGTGACGTCGCGGTAAGGATACTTCTCTTTGCTGACGATACCGTTTTTTTGACGCGCTCCCCACAGGAGCTCCAGAGCGTGCTCGATCGGTTCGACTCCGAATGCACTGCGGCCGGAATGAAACTGAGCGTCTCCAAGACACAGGTCATGGTCCTCTCGAGAAATCTTGCTCGGTGCAGCCTGCATGTCAGTGGGGTCCCACTGGAACAGGTGGAGAAGTTCAAGTATCTCGGGGTCTGGCTCTCGAGCGATGGGCGATACGGAAACGAGAACGACAACCGGATCTCCAAGGCTCCAAACTCTCGGTTTTTAAGAGTGTTTATCTCCCCACCCTCACCTATGGTCACGAACTTTGGGTAATGACCGAAAGCACCAGATCGTGGATACAAGCTACCGAAATGAGGTTCTTGCGTCGAGTGGCTGGTGTAACGCGCCGTGATCGGATTCGGAACTCTGCCATCCGCGAGAGTCTCCACGTCGAGCAGCGATCCTTCTCCGGATCGAGAGGTCTCAGGCCAGGTGGTTTGGACACGTCTGCCGCATGCCCCCTGAGAGGCTCCCAAGAGGAGTCTTCCTGGCCAAGATGACCGGCAAAAGATCTGTCGGTAGACCTCGTACAAGGTGGAGTGATTACGTCGCTCGGCTTTGTCACGAGAAGCTCGGCATCCCACCAGCTGAGCTTGAATCTGTTGCCCAAGATCGAGATCACTGGAGGACGCTCCTGGGGGTGCTTGAACCGCGACCCCATTAAATTGGGAAAAGCGGCCAAGAAAATGTACGTATGTATGTATGAGATGAAAATACAAGCTGAGAGCCAGTGAGAGCCTCGTGCAGGTCGCATCTTACCGCGCGGGCCGGATAGAATCCTTCGGCGGACCGGATCTGGCCCGCGGGCCGTAGTTTGAGCACCACTGGCCTAGCGAATGCAAAGATAATATCCCTCAAGTGGAGATTGATTCGTGAAAATAACTCCCTAAAAAAAAAGGTGTTCTCGGGGGAGTTACCATGAAACAGGATTGCTCCTGAAATCAGCAACCCAAGAACAACTTGTGTATCAAACTTCAGCTTTCTATTACTCTGGAACTCTGTACTAGCCTCAGGCCTTCCGATCGTCCATCGCTACACAGGATCTAACGAGATTCAGGACCCATAGGGAAATAACATGGGTATCATTTCCATCCTAGACTGTCTGGGACTCACAAGCCAATCTTAGTCAATACTGGGATGCCAAAGTTCTGTTAACCTCAAAATTGGACTCAAGTGATCCATAGAGTTAATATTAGTTTACTTGAGTCACTCTGGGATTGATATTCTTAAGTTGCATTTGTAGGTCAATTTGGAAAACTGTCAACTTCAGTACAAATTTAGTAATTCTAGGATAATTAAGCTTAAAATTCGTCAATGCATACAGTTTGGCACCCTGGGTCACCAAGAGTCAATTTGGACCAATTTGCGTCAATTTGGGTCACTCTAGGCTAATTTGGGTCACTCTAGGCTAATTTGGTACAGCTTTGGTCACTCGGTTATTGTGGGTTAGCTTGGCTCATTAAGAGTTGATCTTACTAAACCTTGAGTCACTTTGGGAAAATAGCGCATTTGATTAGCAGTTGGGTTATTTCAGGTCACTTTGGGTCAACTTTGGTTACCATTACATTGTGGGCCATCATGGGACTCTATGGGTAACCATGGATCGCTGCACCTGATTAGGTCACCATGTGCCATTTAGAGTAACTTGAGGCACTCCGGATCAATTTTGGTAATCTTGGGTCACCCTAGGATAATTAGGCTTGAGTTGGCCAATGGGTCAATTTGGGTCATTCAATATCACTCTGGATCACTTGGACCTGATTTTGAAATTTAGGGAACTTTGGCATTCCAGTATGAACTAAGATGGGCTGGTGAATTCCTGACAGTCTTGGCTGGAGAAAAGCTCCTAGTTATTTATCTATTGTTCTTGACTTTTGGAACACCCTGTATATATATTAGACGTCATCTCAATCATCTGATGTCTCGCGGATCAAAGTACAGTCGACTCCGCATAAAGGAATACCGTTTGGAATAATGGAATACTCCGCTTAATGGAATACCATTGCACGGTCCCGATTTACTATATGATACAGCTGATAGTTTCGGTTATTCGGTTATTACTTCGGATTATAGAATAAATTTTGCTGATCCCGTGAGTATTCCAACATGCGGAGTCGATTGTACTTACAGTGGATCCCGCTTTATTGGGCCATCAGTTAATGGTGCTAGCCAGTTTAAAGAACATTTTGTCTGGAACGGAACCATTTCTATGCAAGTGCATAAAAATTTCGCAGTACTAGTATATTCGGGACGAAAATCCGCTTTATTGGGGCGAGGTCGGGGTGAATTTAAGCCGTCGGTCCCAGGTGGATATTTCCGCCCTCTCTCTCACTCCTCTTCGCCGTGTGTTTTGTGGCCGACTGTTAAGGCAGAGACCATCGCAAACTGCTTCCGTGGATCTGGCTTTCATTCTGGACCAGAGGTGCCAGCGTCAACCAATGAGGAGGATCTGACTTGATGTCACTAACGGAGAAGCCTACGTCAAAATCGACGAAAACGCACCGTGCCTCGCCGAACACGATGACTTTGAGGACGATATAGTCGAGGACATCGTTGCCAAGAGCCCTCGCTTAGGGGATGTCGCAGACGAGGAGCCTGAGACTTTACCTAAGGTGACTCAAGTAAGAGACCAGGCACTCGGTGGACATCCTTCAGCGCTACTTTATTGAGCAGGGTTTGGATGATAGAGGACAATGTACTTTTGACATTGGTGAGTTAGAAATGCGTTTTCAGGTATGAAACAAGCAGCTATGGGGAAATTTCTTGAATCTTAATTTTTGTTTTTACACGAGTAAAGGACATTCGTGTCTGAGCTTCTTACTATCTATAAGGTAAGTTCGCTTTATTGGAACAGCCGATTAATTGGGGCAAATTGACCTGGAATCAACGTGTCCCAATAAAGCGGAATCCACTTCTTGCTCTGCTGAAAGGGTTGACTTATACTTTTTGGCGCACATGTTCATGAATAAAGCCGTTTCTGGAGATAGAACATGATAATATTTTCGTTTAGCTCTCATCTTCGGAATCATTTTGTTCCAAGTCCAATCTAATTAATTTCAATGCTGATATACGAATTATCTACCTCTTTCGTACATGAATGAGTGCAGGTGGAAGTGATGAATGTGTGCGTTCTTAAGGCTTCAGCATATACAGGGTGGGGCAAATGTAGGAGAACAGTAGTAATTTTATTTTCATTTTGTATTTACAGGTAGAGGATAATGGCAGGGAACCTGTCCTTTGAGCAACGAAAATGGCTGTTACAGACGTACTGAAAAAGTATTGATAATAAACAAAAATTAATAATAAAAAAGGAATAAGGAATAAACAGCTAACTGTATACCTACTTTTGCACCACCCTGTATAATGCAATTTGGGAGTTGTTTTTGCTCATTTCTCAAAAGTATAATTTGTGGAGATGGAACAAAATAATCCTCACGCGATATGCACTGTTGGTGATGATACCTTTTGTCATTCCTTTACCTAAGGGATTTTCTAATTTTTCAGACAAGTTCCTTGCAAATGCAGGGATATGCGACGAATGCATTGAGCTATAGAGTTCAATATTCAGGAATTGTGCACTAACTTTCCCAAAATTCACAAAATATTCTGAGTCTTTGAAGGTACCCGAGATGAAGTGAATCAAGCTCAATGAACCAGATTCACACGGAATTCTCTCATGACTGCAGCATATTCTATGACAAAAGATGACACGGTTCACCACTACTTCAGCTCAAGTTTATCAAGTTGCCTCAAGAAGCATGTTACAAGGTGTCCATAAAGACTACCTAGAGGCGACTTTTTTTTTTACTGACTCTGAAGTAGCCTTTTTCTTTTACTTTTGTAGACTGATAACGTACCGACCTCGGAATATTGCCAGATCTTTTCTCCTTACACTTTAGCACGGCCGAGAATTAATTTCCCACATCTGGTGTTTCATGATTTTTTATTTATCAGACAACAATACGAGGAAAATTTTGCCGTTCAACTCTATTGTAACAACTTCTGGTAGTTATCATGGTATTGATTGAATAATAGAGCGTTTTAGGAATTCAAAATCATAAAAAATTAGGAGTTTACTCAACAAATTAGTTCAATGTGTTAACCGCCGATTTCCAGAAATTTCTGGGCCCTGGCTATTGTATTGTTCCTTCCATGAGATTTCCATCACTTCTCCGGCACATTGCACTGGAGATATATTCTCTTCCAAGTTGTTCTGATCTGTGGGCTTTTCCTTGTAAACAATGCCAGGGTCGTTAGGGGGACACACACTGAGTTAAATGGACCACCCTGTATAAGGAAATTGCAAGTTCGGAATATATGACAACCCTGTCCTTCCACGAATGTCTCTTTCCCTCCCCTTTCAACTATAACACACTCAAACATCCCAGGTCGGTTTACGAGAATTTAACATTTCGACGGACGTAACTGTACGTCCAGTCCCAACTACCATCAGACGACGGTGGACGTAATAGAACGTCCTTTGACATTTTTCTGATATTGAAATATTTTATCACAATAAAATAGAGAACTTATACTTCAATTTCCAAAAAAAAGCAAGTCTCTATCATTTTGTATTCCAAAGTTACGAATTTATTGGCAGGATAAGACCACCTAAGTTCAGACACTGTTGCAAACATTGTTACAAAACTAAATATTTACGAAGCCGCCTTCAAAAATGGTTCTTTCCGACATGAGATGAACACGTTACTGAGCAATGGAAAAGCTATGGTCATGATGACTTTGCACAATTCCAAGATATTGGGCTTAGAGCAATGCTATATCTCGAACAGGAGGAATTCTTCAAGAAACCGTAAGGAGAGAACCTTACTTTTAAAACGTTTCAAACGTGACGTTGTTGTTTTCTGCACCCAATTTTTACTTCCCAGGAAACTAGGAAGACATGGAGTCCTGTTACGCAGAATGCACGTGCATTGGTCTTACTTTCGGTGTGGCCGAACTTAGGTCAAGAAATGTATGAGAAGAATGTATGAGAACTTAAGTTCGAACATACATTCACGTGTGTCATATCCTCTTAAATGTGATGTCCTCTTGAGATAAAGAACGTTTAGAGTTGACAAAAGCTCAGTTGCGGCATGTTTTTCAGAGAAAATGTATTTTGGAGCCCTGTCCGAACTTTCATAATGGGACATGTAACTTCGGACACCGTCGAGCACATGCGCAAAAAGTACATCTTTTTTTTTTTGCACCTCTAAGTGTGCGACGTGCCTCCAAAGCAGTGCAATCATGGTAGGTGGTTGGAATGCAAGGGATTATTGATCCGAGGCTGTTGAAAAAGCCATCAGGGCTTTAATTCGGGTGAGATATCCTTCCGGAAGGCGAATATTGCTAACGATGAACACATCTGCAAGATAGATTTTCTTCTAGGAACCTCTAAATTTGGAGCGAGAATATGTCCATGAAGTAGGATGTTTTCTGAATTAAGCATGCAGAGAAGTACTTGTCTACTGAATGTAACGAACTGTGCCTGCCCAGTCTGCTTTTAAAAAAGAAATTCCGAAAACATGACCCTAATGATATGTGTGCACTCAAGGGATTTACCACAAGAGTAGGATTTTTCCAGAAATAAGTGACTGGAGAGCAACCTACTTACCAAATTCCAGGTTTCAATGTCTGCCACCGCCCGATTCAATGTAGCCAAACATATTTAAAAATACGGCTCCCTCAAATGTACCCTCAGAGTATGTATCCCAAAAGTTGGATTTTCCCTTGTGTCTACATACCAGCAGGTACCTATTAAGTAAGGTTTCAGCCTTCTGTCTCCATGATTCTGTCTCCATGATTCCCTAAAATGAAATCATTTTTTTTTGGAAAAGGTCCACCCAAAAAATATGCCCATGGAAACGAATCCTAAAAAAAATTCCCCCCTGAAATCTGCATCTCAATAAGTATCGATGCATCAAGTTTCACCTTCTATGTCTTTCCGTTTCGTTGGAGCAAAAAAATGCTCGGAGAAGCGTGTCTCTTAGATATAGTACCTGAAATCCGCACCATCAGAGTTATTCGTGTATGAAGTTCGAACTTTCAATCTCATCTAGATTACGATTAGAATTAAAGTCAGTCGCTCACTCACTCAATCACGATCGTCCTATTCTATTAATAAAAAAGAAGATCCAATACTTTGGGAACGGGTTATTCCTTTACACCAAAATGAAGTGTTTCAAGCTTTAAAAAGGGGGTGTCCGAACTAAGGTGAAAGTGTCCGAACTTAATTTTTTCCTCATCTAAGTTCGGACACCCACATTATAGGCGATATCGATTGTCATGAGGTTAGGAAGGACATCTTTGTTGCACTCATAACTCATCGTGTCGTGCTCACTGAAGCAAAAAAATGAAGCTTCCAGCTTGTACCGTTGAGATAGGACGAGCGAATGATGAAACCAGGGAGGCTTAACTGTTCGAACATTGGTGGTATTACCCTAGACCTCAAAATAACCTCAGTCACCAACCCTCCGAAGCGAAAGTGTTCTTTCCCCCTTTTGACTTGTCATCCTGTATCCTGTATTACAAGGTTTTTTTTGGGAGGGAACCAGCCATACATATGTTCAATAGCGTCGCCCCCCCCCCCCCCCCCCCCCCCCCAACCCCGACCCCAACCTTGCCCCAATAAAGCGAATTTTCGCCCCGAATATGCAGCGAAATTTTAAAGCACTTGCATAGGAATGATTCCGTTCCTGACAAAATGTCCCGATAAACCGGCTGCCCCCATTAACCGATGGCCCAATTAAACGGAATCCGCTGTATTTCTCAAAGTCTGAACAGGTCCTGCACACGTGCAATGCACTTTACCGATTGGAAATCGCGCTTCCCTGTACCAGGCACAAACCCAAGCGATTATGAATCGCTTCATGGCGCTCCGATGCGAAGACTACGCGTCACGGCTCGGTGAAAACTCGAGGAACGAGCAGGGCAAGTCCAGCCGCCGGATTGCCGAGCGAAACGTCGCTGGTAAGAGCCGACGATCATTTCTCGAATAGTTGGTCGAGATGGCGATCTCGAACCGTAAACCGCTATTGCTATTCAAGTGGATTCGGAGCAGAGACGACACGACAGGCTCAGCGATTTACGGCTGTCTTTTACACCCCCATCCAATAGCTGCACACGATGCGTGAGCGATTGGCGTCACATTAGCATCGCCCCCCTTCGGGCATGTGGTTTTTTCCTTTAGTATTCTTCCCTCGTGTTGTGGTGTTGTGATTCTATTCCCCGAGTTTCATCGAGCCTATGGCGCAGGACTTTCGTGTCAGAGCGTCGTACACCCGACGAGTGACTATAATTGGTACACGAGGAGACGATGAGAAAACATCCACCTGCAAGTACGATATGAGAGAAGCCACGAGTTTCCTCCTCCTATGAGGCGATGTCGCAAGACCATGGGAAATGTTCCACATTTTGGCTTCCGAATCCTGTTAGGATCCCGACCGTGTCTCGAGATGCCACGTAACGGAGTCGAGACATGCCCCGAAAGGAGCACCACGAGGAAGCATCGAACGTCATCGTCGCCGCTGTCTTCTTCCTGCGAGAACTTTCACGGGCAAAAACTGGACTCGACTGCATCTCACAGATATCCTCTTCCCCGGGGAGATCTATATTGCTAGCAAAAATGATTTGGCTTTTATCCCCTAAAGGGTGTTATCAACGGCAACTCATATTTATCCTTTGTGGGTTACATAATTAGTCTTTTTGATAGGTTTAAATTTAAAAAAAGACCAGGATTAACATGTAACCTACCAAGTAAACTTGCAATCATGAAGCTTGAATCATGGCTTTCCTCTAGCCCATTGGGGTCCGATAGGATTTTGATGCTCGCCAAACTTGAGGCGGTCAGGTCACCATATTCGCCACATTATACAAAATATATGCACTTTTAATCAAAAGAATGCGCAATCTTTTGAAAGTAGGTTTGAGATTGTAAACCGTCATTAATCGAGACTGATACAAAGTGAAATACAAAGTAAAATGTGGCGAATGGCGAACGTATTGGACACCATGGTTCTAGTCCTATCGAGTGTCCTAGACGTCACTTCCCAATTTTTTCATTCAGTCGTCAGGACGAATAAATTATGGATTAGTTTGGGGACACGTACTTCATATGTTGGATTCAGATGTTCCATGGGGATTAAACCTATTTGTTTATGTACAGGCTACTGTTTTTGAAGACAAGCTTCTTTTGATCGAAGATCCCAGGAATCTTTCTCGAACATTAAAATAATGAGAGAGGAA